TCTAATGTCGACGGGATGCTGGTGCCCAGTCTAAAGGCTGACAGGACGCTGGTGCGTGTAACAGCAGGTTGTTTTCGCTCCACTTCAGTGGATAATTGAGGGGAACCATCAGTTATCTGCGTCGTCATCCTCCCTGCCCTCAGGCAGACTGAACAGCCTGTAATTAAAGCTTCAGTGGTTGAATCGACGTGTTCCTCTTCTGTTCGCATCGTTGCTGTTTGTGTCAGGACGCTCGGAGGCGTCAGGGAGACGTCTGTCCACACCCAGGACGACATGATGGATGTGAGGCACTGAGATCCTGGAACATCCACAACCTTTCTACCAGTGATCCAAACCTTCATGTTGTCTAAGTGACGTTTTGAGCTGCTTTTACTCGTTGTCAGTCCAGATCTTGTTTAGAGACGTCGTTTGTTCTCGTTTCTTCAGCTGAATCCATGAAAACCATCTAAGATTTTTTAAAAAAGATCAAAGAGTTTGAAACTGTGGTCTGCAGCAGTTTGACCCTTAAAGTGATGGTGCAGCCATTTTGAAATGGTGTTCTGTATAAAAGTGATCAACTTTTTCTTTTAACTTAATTTTTTTACAGTTATTTACAGAATATAACATTGTCACGTGTATTTATTTATTTATTGTCACATGCGTTTATGAAATGATCAATATGATGCCAGCTGTTGAAAACATGTTGGTTCTGACTGGAAGAGTGGACTCAGGACTTTACATTAACTGAAACCAGTTCACGGTAATGGACTCGTCTTCCTCTGAGGTGGACATTTTGGACACATTGGACTTATTAAACACTGTGGACATAGTTGACCTGGTGGATACATGGAACCTCTTGGACAGGGAGATCATAATGGACATTGTGGACAGGGTATTTGGATTCAGGAGGTCCTTGAAGGACTCGTTCCAAGGTTCAATAATCTAACGAGTTCTCTCCTGAATTAAATTATTAAATTTAGTTTTGGACTCCAGACCTCCAGGTCTCTTTCTAGGGTTTTTTTAATCTGACCCAGGTGAGTTCTGATATTTGCATGATGTTTGACAAATGGCTCAGGTGAGTTTTTCCTGTAGCGGACCGGTCCGGCAGCTTTTTGATTGGCTCAGAGCAGCAGGATGTTGGTGCCACCTGGCCCCGGATGTGTCAATATTTGTTCTCATTTATGGAAAAACTCATAAAGCTTCCTGCAAATTTCAGAATAAAAGCCTGTTGAAAAGTTTCTGTCTGAGCATTTGGGTTCTGTTCTGTTGGACCGACCGACCCGTTTTGTTCCTTAAAGACCTGCAGATCTCGTGGTTCTGAACTCGTCTGCTCACAGGCTGCTTCTTTTTATCTCCACGTGTCGCAGTGAGAGTTGATGATTGTCTCGGCTCTTATCTGCAGTCATAAACACACACACGTGCACACACACACATGCATGGATCAGGTGGTTCTGCAGCTGTTGTTTGACCCGAAGGCTGATTTCTGTCCTTCATGTGTTGGAGGAGCTCTGCAGTTTGTCTGGACCTGGAATGTTTTTATCTGAAGCCTGAAGTTGAATCTAATCTGCTGCCAGCTTTAAAAGTGAGTCTGAGGACTTCCTGCAGCTGCTGTCCCACTGGACTGTGGGGTACTGGGGGGACTGGGCTGACTGGGGTTGGAGAGACTGCTGAGATCCCTTCAATAAAATCCTTAAACTTTAAATGAATTATAAACGTTTTGTTTTCTGTCTTTCTGCAGTGAGCAGCGAAGGAAAAGGCAGCAGAGTTATGATTTCCTGCGTTCAGTGAACGCATCACGAGTTTTTCTAATCTGCATAAAAACAGAAGATTCAAAATAACAGCTTTTTAAAGTTTTTGTTTTTGTTTGAAGATCTGAAAGATTAAAGTTTGAGGTTGAGTTTGAAGTTTAAGCAGAGGAATGAGCTGAATGTAGACCCACGGGTCTGACTGGTCCGGACTCGAGGACAGGAAGGAGGAGCAGATTACTGGCATTCCTGCGTCAGGGTCTCCTCCTCCTCCTGGAGCTGAGGGAGGAGGAGCAGGTACACGGAGGAGGAGGTTCTGGTTGGTGACGAGAACAGAAGCAGCTGTCTGCTGAGTGTGTTGGAGTCCGAGTTCAGAGAGAAATGGGCTCCACGGAGAGTAAAACCGGACCAGGACCCAGGAGGACCCCCCAGCTCCGCCGCAGGAAGAAAAAAAAGGTTGGTTTGACTCCTGGGCTGCTCCTCCTCCTCCTGGTTTGATTCTCAGAATGGATCTTTTTTTATGAAGACTGATTCTGTGAGCCCGACCCGGCCCATTTGGATCAGAGCAGACGTACATCGGTTCTGACCCATCTGCTGCAGATGTGTCACATCAGGATGTTGGCTTCTTCAGGCCCATGGTCAGTGCTCCAGGTCTTTGATCCTCGTGGTGTGGGCGGGGCTGACAGCTGAACACCTGAACCACATTTATCAGAGCCTGGAGTCAGGATGAGGGGTCATTAGAGTTCAGTCAGAGGAAGCCCCGCCCCCTCAGGGCCACAGCATGGACGTGTTGTGTAAACATGGCTGCAGGTCCAGATGGAGACTCAAACCAAACATGACACTTTGACGGAAAGGACTTTCAACTTGACCTGTTTTTTAAACCCTGACCTGGTTCTTTTACTCTGACCCGGTTCTCTCTGACTTTCATCACGTTACAGCAGTTCTGGATCTGCAGTTCATCAGATCCTCTGAAGGTCCTTCAGAGAATTTCTCTGAACTCTGGCAGATATTTTAGTTCCTGGTTCTTGAAGACACTTGGGCTCTGTTGGTGAAGGATAAAAAGGATGGATGATGGATGGTTGGAAGATGATTGGCTGATGGATGGATGATGGTTGAATGGATGGATGATAGATGGATGATGGTTGATTGATGATGGATGGTTGGATAATTGTTGGATGGATGGTGGCTGGTTGAATGGATGTTTGGATGGATGATGAATTATGGCTGGATGATGGATGTTGGATGATGGTTGGAGGATTGATGGATGATGATGGATGATGGATGTTGGATGATGATGGATGATGGATGTATGATGGTTGGATGTTTCGTTCTTCCTGAGGTTGACATCTTTTCTCTCTGCAGCGTGAAGAAACTCTGAAGCAGAAGAAGGAGCTGAAGTTGGAACTGAGCACGCTCAGAAACCAGCTGGGTGAGTTTCTCACACACACACACACACACACACACACACACACACACACACACACACAGAGTCCTTTGATGTCAGTTGTTCCACGTGTGTGCTGCTCTAACTTTGGAACACAAACAAACAAACGGACCGATCCAAACGAGCGTCTGGATCAGGAGCTCGGACCTTCAACACCAGAACTTCGTGTGACGGAGATTAAATTAACCAGAACCGAACCTGTCCCGATAATCTGATCCAGCTGTTGACAGTCTAACCTCCAGAACCTTTAGAAACAAGTTTGTCCACCAAGCATTGCTCCTCTGAGACCTTCAGAAGGTCTGCAGACCTGCTGATCCACAACCTCTGTAACAGAACCTCTGTAACAGAACCACAGGATAATCTGGATCGTTGGAGGAAAACCTGAAGAACAAACTGTTCGTTCTCAAATCTACTTGGTTTTCTGTCGGCTAGTCTTCTCACATGCAGCTGAGAAATATCAGGAATGTGCGCACACACACACACACACAGCAGCTGTGTGTTTTGGGTCTGAAAGTCAAAGTGAACAGAAAGTTTTCTGCTCTGACAGTTTTATATCGTAGAAGAACTTCATTCCTGCCGCCACGCGCCTGAAAGAGACCGATTAGTTGGAACAACAACATATTTTACAAACCATTAACTCGGCTATAAAGACGGTACAAATACTGCAGGCTGTTTAGTTTTTATAATTGTTTAAAAATTAATGACAGACGTCGCCATTCTGTTTACACCGCAATGTATTGTGGGTAAATGACGTAGGCGGGTTGCTCCGGTACGAGCTTCTTTCAGCTTGAATGTTAATTTTGGACGTTTCTCACGCTCAGCCCTTTTAATTTGAACCAAAGCACGTTGACAGAACTGAGAAATTACTGAGCTTTCACCTTCGCTCCAGAACTAATCTACACTGCCTGGCCAAAAACAAAGGTCACGCTAATATTTCGTTGGACCTCCTTTAGCTTTGATTACATCATGCATTCGCTGTGTCATTGTTTCGATAAGTTTCTGCAACGTCACGATCTATTTCCATCCAGTGTTGCATTAATTTTTCACCAAGTTCTTGCATTGATGACTCGACACTAGGCATGATGGGTGCATCACTTCACCTGCCTCTCTTCTTATCCTGATGCACCATCACTCTGGAACAGGGTCAGTCTGGACTCTTCAGACCACATGACCTTCTTCCATTGCTCCACAGTCCAATCTTTATGCTCCCTAACAAACTGAAGCCTTTTAATCCAGTTAGCCTCACTGGTTAGTGGTTTTCTTAAGGCTGCACAGCTGTTCAGTCCCAATCCCTTGATTTCCCTTCACACTGTGCACGTGAAAATGTTCTTACTTTCACTATTAAACACAGCCCTGAGTGCTACTGTGGTTTTTCTTCCATTTGATTTCACCAAACGTTTAAGTGATCGCTGATCACGATCATTCAGGATTTTTTTCCGGCCGCATTTCTTCCTCGAAGACGATGGGTCCCCACTATCTTTCCAGTTTTAAATAATGCGTTGGACAGTTCTTAACCCAATTTTAGTAGTTTCTACAATCTCCTTAGATGTTTCCTCTGCTTGATGCCGATGATTTGACTCTTCTCAAACAGACGGACATCTTTTCCACGACCACGCGATGCGTCTTTCAACACGGTTGTTTAAGAAATGAGAAGCAACTCATTGCACCAGTTGGGGTTCAATAACTTGTTGCAGCTGATGCAGTAATTGTCCAATAGGAGGCTCGGACATATTTGTTTAGTTAAGTCCAGGTGGTGACTTTTTTTTTTTAACCAGGCAGTGTATATGGCATTACAACAGATGTACGTCATCACCCCACAATGCATTGCACCGGTGAAATAATGGCGACGCCCTTGGGTGAAAAATGTAATAAATGTATCATTTTTAAATTAACATGTTAATTGTTAAGGCCAATATGTGCACGTAGTTGGAGATCGCTTTAAAGGTTCTTTTCAGAAAAGTGTTTGTTTGCAGCAAGCGCACACACACACACACACACACACACACACACACACACAGGGCAGAAATCGCCTCTGGCTCGGCTGGAAGAACGATGAGGGGATAAAACCAGATTTCAGACACGTCAGGTGGTTTCTGTTTACTGAAAACCGTTTGTCTTCCACCTGCTGCCTACCGGTTCTGGTCCGAGCCGCCGTCAGCTGCTGTGGGCTTTGTGTCTCCGTCTCCACGGCAACAGGCGTCCACACAGAGGACTCCATTCAGAGGAGACGCCAGCTGTCCTGCAGCTGCGGAGTGGACCCAGGGTGGGAATGTTGCTGCAGGAGGGTCCAGGTGCCCCCTGCTCGGGTTCTGGAGAACCTCTCAGAGGTTCCAGATCACCTGAACCACTAATGAGAGGGAGGGGCAGGCGTGTTGCAGTCAGGACACGAATGCCTCGGAGCTGACACAGATGTTTCAGGTCGGATCAAACATCTGCAGCAGGATTCATTAAAGTGGAATGTACACACACACACACACACACACACACTCCTGACATTTGAACACTCCTCTCTCCAGTGGCGTCTTCTCTGTGCTGCGAGCGGCTGCAGGAGGAGAAGGAGGAGGTGCGCTCCAACCTGGAGGAGGCTCTGAGGAGGCTGGAGGAGCAGCATGAGGAGGACCTGGTTCAGCTGGAGAACAGGTGAGAGATGATGGGGTTCAACACCACAGATTACAGCCTCGCAGATTATTTCTAGTTTTTGTAACCGGCTTCATTTTATTTTCTCATGAATCTTATTTATTTATTTTTTTTGTTTGTTTTATATATTTGTTTGTTTGTTTATTTATCCATCCGTCCGGCAGCTCAGACTGAAACCCGTTCCCGCTCCTCTGAGGTTCTGAGACCCGGTCGGGTCAAAACTCGACGTTCAGATTAAAGACCAGTGAAAGGATTAAAACTGACAGAACCTCAAGGAACCAGAGGTCAGTCTGAGCTGGACCTCCATGAGCTCTGGTCCCTCAGACGGGTCCATAAACAAACAAACAAACAAACAAACGCTCTGAGACTCTTCATCAGGCGGCGTCCTCCTCATCGTCACGTCCTTAAGTGATGAAGCTCACTTCCTGTTTCTGCCTGAGGCTCAGGAGTGACGTCAATAAAAACATTTATGTTCGTCGTCACGTCTCCTGCTGCAAAATGATCAAAACCCAAAACGGTACCCATCAGAACCTGCGTTCTGGTCGGAGTTCTGGTACCAGAACATCAACTGAGAGACCAATTCACTGAGAACTGTAAACCCCCCATGGTGTTCGGTTCTGACCCGGTCCAAACGTCTCGGCTGTTTAGTCTCTGGGTCTTCCAACAGTTGTGGTGGATCAAATGTTCTGGTTCTGTTTGAGGTTGAGGAGTTTCTACCAGACCGAGTGGGACAAAGTCCACCAGGTGTACCAGGAGGAGGCAGACCGGTGCCGCCTGCTGATGGAGCAGCAGGTGAGTCTGGATCAGGTCCCGATCACAGACCCAACCCAGATCTGGGTCCGATCAGGTCTCAGGACTCTCCGCCGCTCATGTTTGTGTTTGGATCTTCAGGTGGAGGAGCTGAGGAGCCAGCAGGAAGCAGAGAAGAACAACCAGGAGGAGCTCCACAGTCAGAGGGTGGAGGTTCTGAAGCAGGAGTACCAGAACTCCGTACAGGGTGAGTGAGCAGAACTGGACCCCCCCCACCCCACCCCCCGCAGTTCTGTTGTCTCCAACTGAATGTGTGGATGGTGTCTTTTGTTTCAGAGCTGAGGAGGATCCAGCAGGCTGAGCTGGAGGAGCAGCAGAGGAGCCTGAAGGAGGCCAAGACCTCCCTGCAGGTGAGCCGAGCCTCTGGTCCTCCAGCTGGTTCAGGAAAAACACTCAGTTTGGAGTTGAACATGTTTTTACCTGAACCTTTGTTCAGGAGCAACTCTCTGAGCTGTCGGCTGAAAACCAGGATCTGAGAGAGACGCTGCGAGCAGAAGAAGAGAGGAGGCGGCAGATCCAGAGCGACAAGAACCTGGTAAAGTCCAAAAGGCCCGGAGGACTTCCGGTGCTGAGCTGAGGACAAAACTGCTTCACAGAAACGTTCTCACAACGTTCTTAACAAAATGAACAACAGAATACCCGAAAAAAGAGAAGCTAAAACAACCAAACCTTGAAAAAAGAAGCTAAA